CTCTCTCTCTCTCTCTTTAGCTCTCTCTCTCTCTCTCTCTCACTCTCTCTCTCTCTCTCTCTCTCTCTCTCTCTCTCTCTTTTCCGTCAGACCTAAGTAGATAAGACTTGAAGGTAGCCGAGACAAAATCTAGAACAAGAAAGACATGGGGAGGAGGATTTAGTGCAAACATAAGAGAAGGAAGTGTTTTAAAGAGGCGTTGTTTTTTGGGGGTTTTTTTGGGGGGTGGGGTGGGGTGGGGAGGGGGAAGGTTATATAGGTTACATTCTTGAGCTCTTATCGGGATCTGAGGACAAGAACAAATGGAAACGAAAGAATGGAGGTTAGATTTATGATATTCTGTACTTCTGTTGTTGGTGGTAGTAGCAAGGCTAGTGCCGACAAAGTGTAAACACAAGCTTTCTTCTCAGGAATCTTGAAATATTATCGTATTTTATGGAGGCTATGAATGTGCCGTTAAGTAGTATCCCCCCCCCCTTTTCTCTCTCTCTCTCTCTCTCTCTCTCTCTCTCTTTTTTTCTCTCTCTCTCTTCTCTCTCTTGTTCTCTTTCTTTCACTGTAAATTATCTTTTTCTCCCTTTCTTTCTCATTCTCTCTCATTCTCCTTTGTCATTATCCTTTTCTCGTTTTTCTTTCTTCGAATTGTTTTTACTACCTCTTAGTTTGAATTTACAACACTCCTCAGCCTTCGACACACAGACACACAGACACACGCGCACACACACATAAACATACACATAATATACATACATGCAAACCCATACAGGCACGGAAACACACAAACACGCACACACACACCCACGCACACACACACACACACACACACACACACACACACACACACACACACACACACACTCAAACACAGGTTAATTAGTGACTTTACAACCCTTCAACCCAAACCTTTTAACTATATAACCCTTTAACTTAATTCAAGGTTCCACCTCTTTTTCACGCACTACCAAACTCTCTGTTTGATCAGACCCTTTTTTGGTCAGCGAAATGGCTTTTCTTGCCAACATAAATGTTCCTCTTTCCTTTGACCTTTTGTCCTGCCTTGAATCGGAAACGAAATCTTCCCGCTGTCCCTTTGTTTTCTACTTGTATCTTGGCAGGAATCAACTGCCTACGTTTCTTTTCACATTGCGAGAAATCTTTTGCTTTTCCCGTGTTTCTGTTTTGGTATGCCAATCACAATGCTCTCCTGTTTTTTTAAAATCGCCACCAATAAAACGGGTTCGTATGTATGTGTGTGTGTGTGTGTGT